CTGCCCCATGCCGGCGGCCCCAGCCCGGCTCGTCGGAGGCCGGGCGGGTTGGGGCGGGCTCGGGGGAGGCGCTGGCAGTCACGCGGGGGGGACTCCCGCAGCCGCGCCCCTTTGCAAGAAGCGCTCCCGAGGCTGCTCTTTTACTTTCCTTTCTCCGCAGCACGGTCCGGCCTGTGCCACCTGCGCCGAGTGGGTCCACACTGCGGTGTTAGCCTGTAAGGTGCCAGACCTCTTTGCTCCGCAGCGCTGAGCGGTACTGAATTAGACCCTTTCCTGAGTCTGAAGGGGCAGGATTATACCCTCAGAACAGGTAAGAGCGCTGCTGCCCTGTGAGGGGCTAACGTGGCATCCCACAGCATGCCCTAGTCTTTGCCGGGTAGTGAGCAGGCACTGGTCTTGCCTTGGCAGTTTGGCATGCACCTCGCTTTGGGTTTGCCTGGGCAGCCACTCCTTCACTTGCTGTAGCACTGTACAGCACCACCGGCCATGATCCCCAAGAGGCTTGTGTCAGGCCACAGTACTACCCCTCTAGCTTAGGAAGTGTGCCAGCCTTGTGCAGGCCCTCCTGCCAGATAAGCTTCCCTGTGCACCCTCTGCCTTCAACCTCATGGTCTGCAGCACTGCTCTGCACCTGCAAGGACCCAAGAAAACCCCACCTGCCTCAGGTGGTGGTAAAGCTAGGCTGGGCAGAAGCTGCCCACTTCCTTGAGATGTGTGGCTCTCATGAGAAGCATGTGGAGCTTGGCTGGCTGTGAAGACCAGGGCTCTGACCACCAAGTTTGCTCCCTGCCTTTCGTACATGGCGCTTAGCATGAGAGGATCCTTTTGCAGATGCAGTGCGGCCTCCTCAAAGGCCCAGGAGCCAAGTGGCCCTTCGGCCCACTGTCAGATGGGGACACGGAGGCACAGGGAAGGAAGGAAGGGTGCACAGCCAGAAGCAGAATCCAGGAGTTCTGGCTTTTAGTGTAGATCTCCCCATATCTTGTCATTCACCCCCTTACTTCCTCAAAGCAGTTCTCCTGCAGGGTTTGACCCAGACCTAGTTTGCACACCGTCTGTGTCCCTGTTTGGCAGGAGCAGCATGCAGGCCCAGGAGCGCCCAGCTGAGATTGATGAGAGCCTCTACTCAAGGCAGCTGTGAGTGCCAGTGCTGAGCATTGAGGGAAAAATAAGAGGGAGCATGTCAGCCAACATGGCTGGAGCTGAGCATGAGGGGTGTTAACAAAGGAGGCAGAGGGGCATGAATGATGTGTGACCCTCGGTGGCTGAGGGGGCGTGGCAGGAGCAAGGTAGCGGCAACTGTAAGCAGTGTGGGGATGGCAAGCACAAGTGTCGGCGACCACCCACAGATGCTGTCGGCAGCTGGGGTGGTGGGGTGGCGAGCGGCGGTTGGCAGCACCTTTTTCTAAGGGGTGATCCTCTGCTTCTCTGTCATATGGCAATAGGAGGTGTAGCCTGCTGGCCCCAGTAGCCTGTTCAGCACTTGTGGACTGCAAGTTGGACAGCCCTGTGCTAAGGCACCAAACCCTGGCAGGAAGAGGAGTGGGGGCTCTTGAGCACTGTGTTCAGAGCAGGAGGAAGGGCGAGGGTTTCTGGGGCACAGGCCAGGGCAGGAGGAGGGTGATGGTCTCTGGGGCTGTGGCAGGGGGGGTTAGGCAATCCAGTGTTTGAGGGCTGTGGCAGAGGCAGGAACCAAGGGCTGCAGTGCCATGAGAAGGAGACCTGTTCACTGCATGCACAGTTCTCCCCAGCATACCTGCCCTGTGCTCACCCTGCAGGTATGTGCTGGGCCACGAGGCCATGCGTAGGTTGGCCAGCACCTCTGTGTTGGTGTCAGGAATGAAGGGGCTGGGTGTGGAGATTGCCAAGAACGTTATCCTGGCTGGCGTTAAATCTGTCACTGTGCACGACCCAGGTGATGCCCAGTGGAGCGACCTCTCTTCACAGGTAAGCTGATTGCATTGGCTGCCCTCTGCACTGTTCCAGAATCGCCCCTTTTTGGAAGGTATGACCCATCCTGGCCTGTGCTGGTCTGGATTTGGACCTGGTATCTGGCCTAGGGCCGCTATGTAGGAGCCAGGCTCTCTACCACATACTAGCATGGCAGCAGCCAAACAATTAACTCTGGGAGGGATACAGGGCAGGGATATGGATTGGACTTTGAACAGAAACTGTCCCTCTGCTCAGGGGCATGTTTCCAGGGTGGTGCTGCCCACGAAGTCAGCCTAACAGCTGATGCTAGACTCTGGGTAGGAGCTTTGCTAGGGTACTCCCAGGATGCCCCAAACTTCCCTTGAGAGGGTGGGCATTGGGATATCATGGACACAGAGCATGCCAGAAAGGCATGTGTCCCTAAACCAGGCATGACAGACCAACCATGACCCTGTGGCTATGGAGCCACCACAGCTTCTTCCCACAGCTTTATGGATTAAATTCAGCTCTACTGGACCAGTGGAGCTGCATCTGGCACTGTCTCAGCTGCTGTATGCCTCCCTACTCACTATGCAGCGGTGGCTGTGTTTAGTTCTTCTTGTCAGAGAATGACGTGGGTCACAACCGAGCCATAGCTTCCCAGAAGTGCCTCGCAGAGCTCAACAGCTACGTGGTTGTGACAGCCTATACTGGGGCCCTGTCTGAGAGCTTCCTGGAGGCCTTCCAGGTAAGGTGAGGCTGAGATATCCATTGGTAGGGTGGGCACTGGGTATTCAGTGGGGAGAGAGCTGATGCCAGGGGATGGAGAGCAGCAGGTTTGAGTCAACTTTCAGAGATGGCCGGTGTAAGCCTTGAGCCAGTTTACTGCCTCCAATGAGGGCCGGGGGGCGGCTCCAACTTGTCCTAGGTTCTGGAATAAATTAAGCCCTAGCTGTCGTCGTCTTTTCCTATAAAGCAGTTTTGGGATTACTTCTCATATCAAAGGACAGCAAACAGTATTTGCATGTGATCTACCTCAAATCAACCCGGGCACTCCCCGTCCTCCCTGCAGCAGCAGTATCCAGCAGGACTGTTGGCTGGTGCCTGCAAAAGGCAGCAGTCCCCCTGGGTGACAGGTGTCAAAGCCAGCTGAGCATCCAAGGGAGCAGTTGTGCAGGAATAGGCAGGGCATTCCCTGGGAGCAAGTTCTTGCAGGAAGTAGGTACTGAGCAGCTAGTGGCATGGGGGAGCTCACCACACTGAATCCTGGTGAGCACAGCTGACACTACAGCACTGATTGCACTGGGTACTAATGCTTGCTCCTGGTCTAGGTTGTGGTACTGACCAACTCCTCCCTGGAGGAGCAGCTCTATATCAGTGACTTCTGCCATGCCAGGAACATCTGCTTCATCGTTGCTGACACAAAGGGGCTGGCTGGGTAAGTGTACAACAGCCAGGAATCACCAGGGACCGCAGTACACGCATCACAACTGCTGCCCAGCAGAGGGCATTGAGGGAGTGGGTTAGGGTACTGGCTGTGGAGGAGCTCCTGGCATCTCCAGCATCTTTGGTGGGGAGTGGTAGGGCAGGGCATTGTAACCTCATTCCTATCCCCTGGCTCTAGGCAGCTCTTCTGTGACTTTGGGCAACATTTTGTTGTCCATGACCCCACGGAGGTTGAGCCCATTTGTGCCTACATCCAGCACATCTCACAGGTATGTCAGAGCTAGACAGTGCCCCCTTCCAACTCTGAGACCACTGCCAGAGAGTCACCAGCAGGGCTCCAGTACATCACTGTCCCTAATGTTACCTCATCCCCAGCTGCTCCCCAGCCTTTTGCTGTGTCTAGCATCTTCCATGGTCCCCAAAGTCCTGTGTCACCCACTGCCTCCACTGTTCCCTCACTTTCCTCATCCCCAATGTCTCCTCAGTATCCTCTGGTGTCCTCTCACTGCCCCCCAACTGTGACTTCCAACTCCTGACATCTCTTACCCTCACTGCTCCAAGATCTCTAGTGTCCTCAGTGTCCCTTTAATGCCTTGAATCCTCATCTCTCCCAAAGACTTCTCTCCAGCCCCCTAAAACTTAGGCTCTCCTCCTCTCCCTGACTTCCTCACTGCCTCTTGCCATTCCCCAAACCCTGCCCACTGACTTGCTCTTCTTGGCATCCATTGGGTCACCAACCCAGCTGGGTTTTGCTAGTGTCACTAATTTTTTTTCTAGGACAACCCCGGAGTCTTAACCTGTGTAGACAAAGAAGGCCATAGCCATGACTTTGTGAGTGGCGACTTTGTGACGTTCTCAGGTGTGGAGGGCATGACCGAGTTGAATGCCTGTGAGCCTCGTGCTGTCCGTGTGCTGGGTGAGCCCCATCCCCAGAACCCCATTGGTTCAAGTGGAATCCCAGGTGGAGGCAGCAAATTCTAGGGTGAACCTGCTCTGATGACTGTGGGGGCTGGGATGTACTTATCCATTGAAAACCACCATATCTTTAGCCCCAACCCCCCATAGGGGGCATAGAGAGTGCACGCAGCTTCCCACTGACTCTCTATTCTGAACATAACCCTGTCTATTAACACCACTGGCTTCTGGGCTTGGTCAAGCCTGCCCAAACTGTACCTGAGCCCATGGCAGAATCCTCAGCCTTGGCAATGTGATTCTGGGCTGCATGGACCTTTGCCGCAGTGGATGCTACTGCAGGTTTTGTTCTGGCCTGTGCTATAATGTGGGGCAGAGCTGTGCTTGGGGAAGGTGTCCATTGAGTGCTGGCTCAACCCAAAGCCAGATGTGGCTCTATCTGGAGCTAGGTCTGGCCATCTCTTTGTGTTCTCTTTTCCCACTCCCTACTGTTTCTCCCAGCTCTTACAGCATCCATGGAGGCCCTTGGGCAGGGGTGGACTTGGCAGGCCCCACATAGGGATAGCTAGCCTTGTTTTCGCACAAAAGCACCCCTCATGCAGGTACTATTTTTCCTAGACGAGTACATGCTGGAGATCGGTGACACAAGCTCTTTCTCTCCATACCAGCGTGGGGGCCTTGTCACTCAGGTGAAGGTGCCCCAGGAGCACTCCTATGTAAGTGTCAGACAGAAAGGGGGCCCAAAAATGTTGTTTTTTTTCCATTATCCAATTTATTATTATCATTATGGTGA